AGGTATGTACCTTCCGTACCTGTTTCTATATGAAAGTTCCACTGTTGTTTGAAAGGCATTTGTTGAGAGAAACTTGACGGTTGTTTCCATGATTGGTTATTGGGTGCATTTCTATTCATGTAGTTAACCACTTTTGAATGTAGAGAGCGGTCTACATAAATTGGCTCTGGTCGTGGGAGTTATGGCCTAGCGGGAGGTTGATATGTTGGCCGAAAATTTGGAGAATTGCGTTGATTAAAAGTATGCTATGGCATGAAATTCTGTTTAGGTAAATGTGGTTTAGGAATATAAGTCAATTGTGGATAGAACTTGTTGGACACTTTCCTAGGTGGAAGAGGAGGCTTAAAGTCTTGGGCTTTCTTAATATGGGAATTATTATTGAACGCGTCTTGAGTCTTGGCAAATCACCATACATAAAAGTATCAAGGTCTTTGTCACGATATGTTCGTGTGAGTAAATGCATGGATTCGGCACTGACTTCCATGCAACCAAGTTTATTAAGGATAAGAGATAGGTGGGAAGATACCTTTTGGTAGAATTCCTGAATGGTATAGCTACCTTGAACTAATGATGTCATTTGGTACTCTAAGATACCTACGCTCCTTTCATCCGCGTAATTGAGAGTAATGCATTTCGAAATAGCCTTCCACTCTAAAGGTGTGTTATATGAGCAATGTATGCGTGCCCATGACTTTGTTTCTTATAACGTTAAGGATACCATAGTATTTTGGTGATCCTCTTTGAGGATGGTATATTTCTAGTATTCGGTCTGCGCTCTTCATCCACGAATTGATTTTGTATATTTCGTTAAAGTTGTTTGTAAATGTGGGGTCTATGGCGACGTCCGTTGTGTTTTAAAAGTTTGCATTCGGATTAATTGCGGCCTGAACTAGGTTCCGTCTTGTCTTAAAATATTTGTGACTACGCCACTCATAAGGTTTGTCAATCAAACGTTTATTTCGTTAGGATTAGGAATATGATAGGTTGGTTGAGTATTGGCTGCAGTAGGTACGTTTAGCACACCAGGTCTTATGGGATTGTTTGGCATATTTTGTTAGATCTTTGCAGGGATTTTATTTTATTTTGGTTAGGTGTCCTTATACTCTGGAGAGTCCCTTTGGTGGTGAATCGCAGAGTTGGGGAGTTATTTAGAACTGGAGGGTGGTCGCAGCTTCTATATTTTTTGATTGGCTGTACGGGCCTATTATTATTTATATGTATTATTTAGGGTTTCTTTCTTACATTTTTTTTTAAATGCTTAAAAAATATCTTAATATTAGGTGCTTACTTATTACTAGCCTCCTGGCGCATGGGGTGTCCTCCCTTTTGTTCTTTACTACTAAGGCTCCCTCGTTGCGCACGTAAAGATGGTGCGTTTTCTTCCTACTAGATCCTATCGCGTGGTTGACGGACCAGCTCGACACCAAGGTTCTTTATTTCTCGGCTGTCCTTCCAAGGGCGATTTTAATGTTAACTCTTTGTCACAACACGATTCTTACACCGCACTTAGACGCAAACTTCAGCTGGTCCCTGCTCGGGCACCAGTTAGGTTTTTTATTAGTTAAATGATTTTTTAAAAATAAGCGGACTCGCTTCCGCGGTCTTTATTTTATTAATGTTATTTTAAGACTAAGCACAATTAATTTTTTTACTCTAAATTAAACTTAAGTCCATATCGGGTCACGTTGCCAAAAGTTACGGCGTCAGCAGTCGATCGGACGCGCGTGTGGAGTCGTTAACTAATATCGCTGATGCAGCGTCAGCAATTAATCGGTTTCAGGTTCAAGTTAATGACCAATGATGCGAATTGACTGACCGTGTGAACTCCAGTGTTAACTTACATAACATAATGCTAATAAAAATGGTAACTTTACTTTTAATATTTACATAATATATTAAGATGCTTTCATATTTATTTCTTTTAACCACAAAGTATTTAGTTCGATATCATTTTATTTAAAACAACAATTGTTATTAATTCAAAGATGTTTTATGAAAAATAGAAAAAAAGATGGAATAAATAAAGTTATGGATTTTTAATACTTCCCAAAAGATAAGGAAATTCCTGTTATAAATTTGGCATTGGAAATATTAGCAGCGGGTATTCAATACATTCTGGTGGATTAGGGAATTCCTAACTTAAGTATTTTTGTGAAACTATTAAGCGGGTAGGTATTATGCATAGTGTTCTACCACATTCATGGTAATTCATTGCAAGCAAAATTTGAGACCACCACATGCCAATGAATTATGCAACACGCTCTAGAGGCACAAACAGTCACCGACGCAAAACCGTGAACCGAATCAGCTGATACGACCTATCTTATGAGAGCGCAATGTAAATGAACAATCACTACCGCTTCCATTGTATAAGTCTACAAGTAGCCAAAGAATCAGCTGTTTTCCTATGTGTGTGAAACAGCCGTGATCACCTGATCGATATGCCTTTTTTTGACACAGAGTTTTAAATAAAAGGATTTAGTGTAACAATTTGCACTTAAAATGGAAATATCTGGAAAACTATACGTTTCCGGCGCCAATAGTTATATATATTCGTGATCTGGGGAATCTCCTCTATCCAACCATACCCCTCTTAACCCTGAAATCGTGGGATGCTAAACTAAAGTTTTCCCATTGCTTTTCCTCACCACCTCTGAGGTTGCAATATAGGCGCGTTACAGACCTTTTTTGGGTGTTTGTTTCCCCAGGACTAAGCCGGTAAACTAAGAATTTAAATATTCAACAGACAAAGAATTTTCACTCACAAAAACATAAACATGTAAGTTAAAAAAGATAAAATTGGAAACATTTAATAATATTTCAATACAATAAATAATAATTTAAATAATACTATGTAAATTTAATCTTTGAGAATTAAAACAACCGAAAAATATTTGAATATGGAATAAAAACATTCTTAAAGTTATTAATTTTAAAACATAACACGGCAACACACTAGAGCAGATTTCTGTTATTTGAACGTTTTAGTAGTAGAATATTGGTTGGCAACCCGTACAAAGTGTGATTTTAGTAGCAGAATATTGGTTGGCAACCCGTACCAAGTGTGATTTTAGTAGTAGAATTTTCGAGGCAACCCGTACCAAGTGGGATATTTTTGCGTGTGTATTAGTGAAAATCTTAGGATTGGCTACTTGTAGATTTATACAATGACCGCTTCTACCGTCCGCTTCAACGGACCGTACGGTAGGATATCCGCGAAAATTGGATTTTTTTCGCGTAGAAACGATTCAGCTGATTGATCTCTTGTAACGCAGGGTCGATATTTTGGAGTAATTAAAAAATAAACTTGAGTATATTTAAAACATTCTTAAAATAACTCAAAATAACAGTCGAATAAATTTATTTATAAACAGGTAAACTATTTTTAATAGTTTGATTTTAGTTTTGAGCTTTTACATTATGAAAAATTATAACTAAAAAACTAAATGTGTGAAAAATCGTGTACACAAATAGAACAATGGCAAATGGTGAAATGAAAACAAAAGAGAACTTTTGACAAATTTGGTTTGATACGTGCGGTAAGTAAGGAAGGGAAAGAAATTAGAAATAAATTGTGAAATCAGTGAGTTATTTGTGAGATCAGATTTTTTAGTGACTATAACGTGTGTTTCTAATCTGTTTTTAAAGAGATTTCATTTAGTTTTATTTTTAGCAAAGAGCGGGTATTTTGTCGAAGAGTAGTGTACTTGGCAGTATCAAGAGTTAACATATAATATATACCTTCTGCTCAACGGAAAACGAGACTTTATCCATAATTCGACAAGGACATGACATATGGCCATACTTTTTTTTGCTTAGGTTGGCAGGACTGTTATATGTTTACATGTCAAATTTGAGCGCGATCTGTCACATAGTTTTTTTTTAAGGCACTATAAACAAGTCAACCTCGAGTGTGTTTTTCGAATTTTACTATGGAAATTAACGTTGAGCAAAAAGTGTTTGTTTGAAATTTTGTTATTCCAATGGAATAAGTGCGACGGACGCAATGAAAATGTTGCAGAAGGCATATGGGGAGTCTTGCCTATCACGTGCACGTATTTTTGATTGGTATAAGTCGTTCAAGGACGGCCGTACATCGCTGGAGAACTTGCCCCATGATCGTCGTCCAGCAACGTCAATAAACGAAGAAAACGTCGAAAAAGTAAAGAAAATTGTGTTGGAAAATCGTCGTGTGACTGAAAGAGAGATAGCTAGTGAGCTCAACATATCAAATGGATCCGCTCATAGCATTATTCACGATGTTTTGGGCATGAGTGTCTGCTCGACTTGTTCCAAAATCCAGCTCATACGTCTCGTCTTGTACGCGATTATTTGACCAAAAACAACGTAAATATTTTTCCGCAAGCACCGTATTCACCCGACATGGCACCGTGTGACTTTTTTCTTTTCCCTAAACTCAAATTGCCGCTTCGTGGAAAGCATTTTCAGTCGATTGAAGTCATAAAAGAGAATTCGAAGAAGGAACTGAAAGCCATACCTAAAGCGGCCTACCAGAATTGTTAGGAAGGTTGAAAAAAAAGTGGCATATGTGTATCACCTCTAATGGTGACTATTTTGAAGGGGATAAAATAAATATTGAAGAATAATTAACCGTTTTTGTTGTTTGAACCAGTCTCGTTTATATTTGAGCAGAAGGTATGTGCATAGTTTGGTTAGAATTCCGCGCAAACATTATTTAATCTTAGACTTCCGAAAACATTATTAATTACAAATATACATATATGTTTATTGAGTATATAAAAAAGAAGTAAGGTCCATGTTTAAGTTATTTAAAACATGTAAGTGTTTTGAAATATTACATTACTTTGTTATATTAAGCTTTAAAAGTTAATTTGAAAAACTTTTGAGATTAAAATATGTATTTAGGCCTCATATGGGATGTCTAGCGTTTTAAACTAGTTTTATATATGTATGTTTTTCTGTAAAATGGAATCCGAAAAATACCATTAAAAAATCTCCAAACTTATTTCTGTTCTTAGTGGCACCACTGTCAAATGTTATAAAAAATGTAAGCTTTTACAGGGCTCTCTCGACTCGGAGAGTTTCGTATCATGTTATCCATGTATATATATGTATATATAATATTAACATTCTCTGCCATAACTTCTTTCAGCATTTTGTAATTCTTCCTTTTTCATCGTATTTCATGTTGTTTTAAATTACTATCATGGCAACACTGTTCATATTAACATCCATTTTCCAACGCTACCGATTCTTTATACGGTGGAAAGCTTTTGTGGAACGTACACAGAAAATAAGCTTTTGTACACAACTCAGCCAAAAAGTGGGCTATCTCTATAGCAAGATAGGGCGGCCAGGTATTCTCGCACATAGCTCATCTCTGCTACTCTCACTATATATTTTTCACTCTTGTTTCGATTTTCGTCAGAATTGGCAACTCCTATGTCAGCAAATGAGAGCAGGGCTACACACAAACACAGTTTTGTATACATCGCTGCTTTCTTTTCCCATTGATATCCGTGCTTGCCTTTCCAATTTTGCGCCATCTGCAATTGTAACGCAGTCAGTGCCATTTGGGGCCATCAGCTAAAAAGCAGGGTAGTACGGTGTATCCTGCAACGCGCATTCGTTAAACAAATCAAATAAAATAATTGTAATAAAAAAATGCTCCAGATAACAATAAATGTTCAAAAACTATTTAATCCGTGATCTACATATTTCCCCGTTTTCCATGCCTTACTGCATAAAATTCACATTCACAGCCAATCGCACAAAAGAAATCTGGTCGAAGCGATTGATTCTTGCACAATAATCGACTTATACGTTGACAATTGAAAGAAAATTCAAGTGTGAAAAATGTCTATGCATGCAAAAGTTAAGTGGACCAAAAGTATCGTATAGATATTGTATATTGAATATGGAATTTTTTCCATCCCTAAACAATCGTGTATGTTCCATCTATACATTTGAATTTAGTACACTTGAAAATCGGCATAACAATAGTTAAAGAAACGAGTATGGTATATTTTTTATATTAAATCTCTAACGTTGAAGCTATGAACGACTTTCTTACAGAAAAAGTGTAAATAATTTACGTAAAAATATTATATAATTTATGGCAAGTAAAAGCATTGATGCTTTTATACTTCCTATTCGCTTTTTGAGTTGTATTGCAGTCATATTTCCGTCCTGGACTTACGTAAAACGTTTGGAGGCAGTATGAGTTTTGAAAAACAAAAATTATATCGATATGAACTAAAAGTTTAAATGCCATAACGTAGTATGTGTAGATGCATATGAATTAAAAAATTACGAGTGCCTAACCAAATGCGAGTTCAATATAAAATGTTTAAAACTGAGTATAAAAGCATGGAACCTTGAATGTGAAATAATTTAAAATTATTCATCCTATTATATATTAAACTAATACACATAAAAAGTAGGCATAAAAAGTTAAAAAAGAATAACTTATTTCTTCCTACAATATCCTTCCTGCTTTGATCCCGTACTATAAAATATCTATAACGACAGTTAAGTTGAATTATATAAAAATTTTGTGGATATACGGATTTTCATATTTAGGCGCTGTTCGTATAAGTTCGTTTGCAGTTCGTTCGCAGTTCGTTTCGTTTCTAAAATGCTTCGTATTCTTCTTTCGGCTATACGTGTAACCTAGAGTTTCCCAGTTACCCTTCGTTTCCATCTGTCTGTTGTAGTTGCCTTTGTTAGATTCATCAGTACTTTGGTGATTTACACATCTTGTTCTTAACTTGAACATATCTCCACTTTTATTGAATTCCTTTGAAAATGAGCTGAACACTTCGGTATTGGATCACAAGAATTTCATTTGGTAAGTTGTGGTGCGGGAAAGTGCATTGGAATGAACTGAGCTGAATCGAGTTGAGTAACGAAAATGAAAAAGCAATGTGGGCAAATCTCGTCTATTGATGAGAAGAATACTTGTGTTTTCTTGTGCATTGAAGCTCAGTGCGTTAAATTTATGCCAATTTGCTCGGGTTTTCGTTACAATAATTAAAGAGAAAAAAACGCTCTCTCGACCCTTGCGAATATATGTTACAAAAGTATATTTAAAACCATTTGGATATAAAACTGGATAAATGCGCGTGCAAAATAGAAAAAGTTACTACTACACTCGTTTATACTAACTATAAATGTTTCAGATGAAAGTCTAAAGAAGATATTTAGTGTTTTATTTGTCCCCATCAATGTGTCAACTTCAATTGAAAATGAACATCTAACATTCTTCGTGTGAATTAGCCGTTTCGAGTGATCAAATATAAAAAAAATGATGAGTTTCCCAAAAATTCAAACAAAAATGAAGTTTGTGAGTATTAAATATAACATGCAATTTCAAGGTTAACCGCGTTTACAAGAGAACTACACATAAGTATGAGCGCACTACGACTGCTCAAGCTGCTTGTGGGAATATCCCGACACAATTCCGTCTCTCGTTTAGCACAAATCATTCTTAAGCAGTTTCTAATTTTGGGTACTTATCGATCGAATATTCTTAACAGTTTTTGTTAGTGTCACTGTTATTGCAACATATCATCGTAAACACTTAAAATTTCGCACCTACAATTTTCGATTTATAGTAACGACAACAATTAACGCAAATACGTTAAAAACATATTTGCATCTCGATTAACGGTATGCTGAGCGCTGCTGAAACCGCAAACAAAATTTTATGCTGTGTATGCTGGGAGTTAAAAATAACAGTTTTGGTTACAGCCATCCTCCTAAAAGAGGTAGGACCTTTAATAAATTTTTCAACTTTATGCACATGTTCCCATGACCATATTCATATATTTATATTTATGTTATGATGTATCAATGCTAAAATTCGGTTTAGTTTTAAGTACAAATGTATGTATGAGTCAAAACGATATCCAAAGCCTTCACAATGCCACCAATTTTCTTGTAGATTTATTTTTATAGTCAAATGTGCACCTTTATGCATACATCATGCATTATTTTACGATAGATACTTTCAAGTAAACGAATCAGTCATTAAGTACTATTTATTTCATTTGTTAAAACATTATACAACATGGTATGTGCGTACATTTTGAGATTAGAAATTAAAAGCATTTGACATTGCGCTGGATGAATAAAGAAGTTGAACAAAGCTGGCCTTTTAGTTTTTTGTTCATTAGTGATAGATCCTCGGTACTTGTCAGATCACTTAACAGAGTAAGCTTAAAAAAATACCATACGGCGGATCCACTATGATACATTTTGCTTTTGAGATAATTTAAAATATTTGATTCAATTAACAACCTGTACCCGTTAATTGATGTTTGAATAATTAGTTTCTTCAAAATATATATATTTATGCACGAAACAGAGTCGATTTTTTTCCAATCCAAATTTTATTTTTTTTACCCTTAACATATACTTTGTTTCAGTACGTCTGTATATAAGCGAACTCAGTTTTTTAGATATCGAACTGAAATTTTGCACACGTCCTTTTCTCCCAAAGGATCTGCTTATTTATTGAAACCGCCAATATCGGACCACTATAGCATATAGCTGCCATACAAACGGAACGTTCAAATAGTACATGTCCTTTTATAGAAAACATTTTTATTTGAAGAGATATCTTCACGAAATTTGCCACGGATTATTATCCAAGACAAATGTACAATTGCCGAAGAAACTGTTATGATCGGACTACTATAGCATATACATAGCTCCATTACAAACTGACTGTTGAATGTCAAGATAAATATTATTTTATAATAGATTTCAAAAGAAAAAATCACTATTAAAATTGCCAAAGTGTATAACATTTAAATAAAGGAGCGATGAAGATTATATAGTGTACAACTCCCATTTAAAATAATAAAAGAGCAGAAAAGTGTGTGTTTGCAGAACTATATTATAATAAGTAATGAAGGGCTAAGTTCAGGCGTAACCAAACATTTTATCCCCTTGGAATTTTCAAGGACCTAAGTCGGTGAAATATTTTCAGATATTGTGAAAATTTTATAAAAAACAAGTAGGGAAGTTCTAAGTTCGCGTGTAACCGATAATTTTGCTCTCGCAACTTGCAAGGATCAAAGCCCGGGAAATCACTTCCGGTGTTGACAAAATTTTATATTAAAGGAAGTATTGATCCGATTCAACCCATTTTATTATCAAGAGTTTCATTTATTTATTTTATTATATGAATTTCAATTATGTATCTTACATTGACCGATATTTTCGGTAAAAATTCAACTATAGGCACTGGGGTCCACATATTCAGTTTGGTTCGATTTAGACAATTTTTAATCACAAGGTGGTGTACTATAAACGCATTATTAACGCAAACTTTTACCCCGATCCAATCATTGTTGCTTGATTTGCATAGTGGAAAGTGAAAGAATCAGATTTAATTTAAAATGGTATTATATGGGAAATAGGTGTGGGTGTTATCCGATTTTGTTAATTTTCGCACTATAACATAGAAATATGAAAAGAACGTTATGCACCGAATTTGTTTGAAATCGGTTAAGCAGATCCCAAGATATGGATTTCACCTTAAAGTGGACGGTGCCCCATCAACTGCCTAATTTTGATCGCGGTTCCTATAAAGTCATCTCATGCCATCCTAGAGATAAAATTTAATGACTCTGGCGTGTTTAGTGCTCGACTTATCGCGCTTTTAGTAGTTTTTAACAGTACCGTTTTATTGGGAGTGGTTGGAGTTGTCACCCGATTTCACTAATTTCCACACTGTCGATAGAGGTGCTTAAAAAAATTATTTTCAGTGAATCTTGTTATTATAACATTAGCGGCTTAGGAGATATGCACATTAAACCTTTTAGGGGGTGAAACCACGCTCACGCTAAAAAAAAGTTTTAAACTGAAGATGCCCCTCTCTAATGTGGAGCTTAGTTATGGCAATTTATTTGTTTCTAATAAATGGTGTTTTGTGCGCGTGGCAACGGTTCGATTACGCCCATCTGCAATACCAACCGTCTTACGGTACCAAGAACCAAGTTGTGTACCAAGTTTCATAAAGACGTCTAAATTTTTATTCAAGTTACAGCTTGCACAGGCTGACGGACGGACACACAGCCACCCGGATTTCAACTCGTCTCTTTATCCTGATTATTTATATATATTAAACCCTACATCTAACTCGATTAGTTTTAGGTGATACAAACAACCGTTAGGTGAACAAAACTATTTTACAGCACATGTTGCAAGAGCATAAAAATTTTGCGTAGGAACTAAATATGCATTATTCGAAAAAACCGGATATATTCGGAAGTCATTATATAAGCGATGTGAGGTTTGGGAGAAAGTCTAGATCAATTCGATATATATTTAACACTAAACTACATTATTTTTAAGAAATCGACTTAAGAATACACGCATGGTCGGAATTAAGCTGTAGTCTACCCAATATTATACGTTCACTTAATTTTGCTAAGATATCTTACTCATTGACCGATATATACGCTATAACTTCAACCGGAAATTTTTAATTCGCATAATAGGTATATGGGGGATAGAGCTATTATTTGCCCGATTTTATCCATTTAAGGCACCCTTAAACACTTAGAAAGAGACGAGTTTTTACACTGATTCCTCCTAAATCCATCTCAATAACTTCTTTCTTTCTTTTGTGGTTTGTGAGACATGTACATAAAACCTATTAGGTAGCGAGGCTATGCCCACTTTTTACAAATTTCCACCTCCCTTCTCCTCAGTACTCCGATCCTCTGTCCCAAATAATAGTTTTGTGTCGTTTGGAGCATAACATAGTTATAGCACTTTATAGGTTCTCGATTAACGTCATTTTGTGGGCTTGGCAATAGGCCGTTTCAGCCCATATGCATTACAAATTTCCCTTGTTTACTAAGTTTCATAACTAAGCGTTACTCTCCAGCGAATTGAACAAACTATGCCAGATGCTTAAACTAACGAGCAGAACTTGTGGTCCAGCCCTGCGCTAACATGTCATCTGACGTATTCGCAATAGTTTTATGATTCTTTCTTAGTGGAAAAGTTCTTTTTTCGCGTTTAAATACGTTGCTGTCAACTTTTATTTTAGTTTTCTATAAATTAGCATTATTAATTGATGTTAAGCTTTAAGAAAAAAATAAATTTGTATTTCGATTTGTCATTTGAACCATTCACAATTGTAAAACTAATCTAAATATGCAAAACAAAACTTGGTAGTATTGAAGATAGCGGCTATACCAATTTAATGAGGTATCCGCATACTCTCTTGTACGAATTCAACTTGATAACTTTGTTGTTGCTTTTACATGTAATTTTTTTGACAAGAGAGCAGAAGTGAGCAGAGAAATGGCCAATCGAAGAAAGCTATTATAAAGCATATAAAAAGGTTTAACAACGGCCACTTTTCCATTAGTTAGAAAACTATTATGTTCTGTTGAAAATACTGCGATATTTCTAGACATACAAACATTGATTTGGCTTAATAATAACAAAGAAAAATAAAACGAAAAGAATGAGAATAAAATTAGAATGAGCCATAATCCTTTCTTTTTACTAAACATTTTTGAGAAACCTAAGTTCACCACACTCGACGTCATGATATTTGTGGGCGAAACCGGCTAATACCAACAGAATTGGCGCCATCAAATCACAATCACTTCCAAAACAAGGTCAGAAAACAACAATTTTATTCAAAAAACAATCAATATATGACAAAACTAAACTCAGTTTATCGAAGGTAAGAAACTCCAATTGTTCCCGCTGACCCAAATTCGTCCTACTCCTTCCATTTGACTTCGTACCCGGTATTCCAGTCTTTATGTGTGGTTTTTTAATGGTATGAGATGGGCTTGTTTTATGAGTAAAGTGCAATTTACCGCTAAATTAATGAAAAATTGGTTAATACTGAAAATATTTCTTAGAATAATAAGGTTTAGTACCAAAGCCAGTATAATATTTCTGATATCTTGATGAAGTTAAGTGAACACATGATCTATAGGAAAAGTTATTGTGAAACCAAAACTATCGCAATAGGCTCACAATTTTACCTAATGTGGTCAGTAGATTCCTAAATATTTCTTCCTTGGTTTTTATGCTTTAAATTAATCCTGTTTCATAACCTAACCTTAGCGGTATAATACTTGATAGAACAGGCACGTTGGAAGCTGCTTTTAAGAGCCAAAATGGCAAATTAAAAATTTTAATGCTTTTATTATAATATTATTATTATAGCTACATATTATTATAGCTTCCAGTTGGTTTTTATCTTTATATCTTTTTTTAATTTCAGGTCTCACACGATTGGACTACGTTTATATCTAAGTAATAACGCGACTAATTTCATGAATAGATGAAATAACTTATATACTTACATATGTATGTATATCGCGTATATAGCCGAGTAAAATATTCGTATAATAGGCGAAGCTGTAACCATCTGTTCCAGAGTACTATCACCAATAACACTAAGAAAATATGATGGGGCCATGAGCCCGTCATTATTTGAATTAAATCCGAGTCGCAAGCGCGTCTCAAGCGGGCCTGCACCATGCTAGCACCGCCGAACCCGAGGTCAATATGCGGCCAGGACCCGGGCTGGTCGTGATGGCGCTTGCGTTTATTTCGGGGGCTCGGCGTGGCAGCACCAGCACCAGTTCCAAATCATCATCATCGGCCACATCATCATCATCACCACCGGCTTTTTTCACCTCTACCACATCCAATAATGATCTCGAACCCCTGACAGCTTCTCTACTGTTTCCAGCCTTCCTCGGTGGAGGCGGTGTGCTAACATCAGCTAATTCACCATCATTATCTAATCATCCTCTACAAGAATCGGAAGGAGAAAATCGCAAAGAGGATTACAACTACATATACAATAGCTATTTTAACTTGCTTCCACTTACATCGACAAGTGATAGATCAATCCAAAGCGATCAGCACCTTCGATTGGAAACTCTATCCGGCTTAAAATCGTCTTCCCGTGCAACTAGACAAACGAGAATAATACGAAGCTTAAAAATAGGTAAACGAAAACTAAACGAAAACAGACACGAAACTGAAGTCCGCGAACGCGATCGCGATCGTGAAAGGGACAACGTGGGTAATTCGGAACGTGTGGTGGATTCTGAAAGTGGAAGCGGTAGTGGAATATACGATGTTGAAGACATCATCTCAAATGTGGAAGCGAAAACTAGCGCCAGTCTTTTAATTGATGATGCCGCCGTCAATATAAATACTGAAAAAATTTCCTTACGATATCCTACAAACTCTGCGGATACATCACAATCTTTGGAAGGGGGTGATATCTTAGCTTTGGTCGCCGAAGATGATCTTCTATCGGAAGAATCATTTGATCGACTCACGAAATTCACAGATGACAAAATTGGTTATGTCATTCTTGATGATTATGATGCCGTAAATGAGGATACAACTAGTGGTGTAAGTGAGGGCTTTTTAACTAATGCTCTTGAAAAGAAACCACAAAAAGCGCGGGATGTCAAATACTCTAAAAATGAAAATAGTGCTGGCAGTGAAAATGGTACTGAAGATCACTATAATTTTCAAAATGAACAAGAACATCGAAATGAAGAAAAAAAATCTAATGTAAACGAAAATACAAACCAAAATATAAACGGAAAAAATTACGTGGTAAATAAAGAAAACAACTCAAATAATTTACCGGTGATTGTCGATACTTCGTTTGCGGCCGCGTTTAGTGAAAATGGTTTGAGTCACACCATTACGACGGATAGTGAGAGCAATGCCCGAAATATCAAATGGTCGATATTCGAAAGCGAGTCTCCACTGACTCGACTTAATCCCTGGATATCTGCCTGTGACCTGGCACAACCTGGTACGGCACCAGATTTACAGGTGAGTTTTTTTCAACAGCTTCGTCATAATAACAATTATCAAACAAAATTATACTTCTACTGTAGATATTAGTAAGGAAGTGCTAATTTCGGATGTATCTGAATATTGTATATACTTTCATTGACATTGTATTCACCCGATATTACCTATTTTTGACGAAAGATACATAATCGTTGAGAAAACATTATCTCTGAATTTCGATAATATATTTCACAGATTGAATGATATTTTCGGTAAAAAGTCAACCATGGGCATTATTTGTGCACCGTTTTATTCCGATAATTTCATTGGTGCTTGATTGATATGCTGTAAAGTTAAATAATCATATGGAATACATAACTGTGATATATGGGAAGTGAACGGGGTTGTAATATAAGAGTATAAGAATAATGTTATGTACCAAATTCGACTTGTGGCTTATTTATAGCATCTATAGTTTTTCGCTTAACGGAATTTTGTGGTCGTGACAATAGTCTAATTCCGCCCATCTGCAAGACCAACCAGGCACTCGGAATGCAATTCGTCTCCCCATCCTGATCTTAAAGATTTATGTATATACAAGTATACAACTCTACTTGTATATATATATCATAAGCAATCGTTAGGTGAACAAAACTATTATACTCTGTTGCAACACGTTTCGAGAGTATAATTATAAGGAAACGCATAAAATTTAAATGAAAGAAAACATTTTTTTTATTCAGTAATTTTTTTTATGAAATAAGCTTTTGGCGAAATTAGAGAAAAATTGATGTCACAGTGAAAATGGTCCATCACAGCAACTATTAAATACAGTACTATAAAACTTATTACTAATATTTTGTTGGATATCTTTTTTGGCGACTAACGCACTTTAAACAGTTTGAAATAGATTCCAAGTTGTTTGGTATTTGTTAATTTATATTATAGGTCATAGATACACTTAGTTTTATCGATATATTTTAGCCAATGCCAAATTATATTATGAAGAATGAGACATATATGATATCGAAGGGGTTTAATTCGAGGTGGAAATAATGTTAATGTGGAAAACGTCAACCAGAAGATTGGAATTGATTATATTAGGGATATGAGGTTTAGGCTAAAGTCTACTCCAACTCATTACATATTCAACGCTAAACACATAATTTTTAGGAAAACTTGTCAACCTAATTTCTTTAAAGTATCAAACTTTTTGATCAACCTAAAGGGTTTAAAGTATGATAGTCGGAAATCACTATATAGGGTATATTGGCGGCAGATCTTGGCCAAGTACACTGGAGAATATATTTTCAAGCTATTTTTAAATAAATAACTTACACACCGACCGACATATTCGGCATAAGGTTTGTTAGAGTAATAAAAATTATTAATTAATATATGGGAGTTGGGGTAATTCGAAGAAAAATTTCATATACATATATATATATTATATTTTATCCATAAGCATTTCACCCATTTTCACATGGTAATATAGGAATGTCAGGATAATGTTTTATACCAAGTTTAGTCGAATAGGTTCGAAAATATGTGATTTCATCTAAAGGTGAACGGTGCCATGCCCATCGTCCAATTTTGCCAGAGGTTCCTATAAAGCCCTCTTGTACCATTCTGGGTTAAAAATATAATGTCTCTGCCGCATTTAGTTATTGATTTACTTCACTTTTAGTTGTTTGTAATAAAACTGTTATATGGGGAATGGGTGGGGTTATTATCCGATTTAACCTATTTTCACATTGTAGTACGAAGTGTCAAAAGGATTTGTCCTGTGCAAATTTGGGTAATATACCTTGAATAGTTTGGGAGACATATATGTATATTATACCTATTAGGTGGTGGAGCCACGCCCACTTTTGAAAGATTTTCAATTCACAAGTGATTATAAAAAGTATTGAAAGTGTTACAACTCTTTTACATACTTATACATACATTGTATATATGTACAAAGGCCTAGCCGATTATGTTTGTAGATTTCTGATTATGTATGAATTCAAACAATTTATGAGTTTTTTTAACTAATTACGAAATCATAATTCACGAACCGTGTCATCTATAGCCAATGTCATGTGTCAATGTGCACTGTCAACTGAAAAAGTCATTTGGATTTGAGCCAGCAATGCAAATCGCACAATTTCCTGGCTGTCCGTACGGGTATTGTACGCCAATGTTAACATAAACGTGATTGCAAATTAAGTATCAATCGGCGCAGCAGGAACTATTTGAATTACTTCAGTGTCAGATGTATAATAATTCACCGTACATATGTATTTTCACAAGTACGAACATAAACATACAAACTTTGGTATTATTTTTAAAATAACTATTCAGAATGATTCAACTGATGAAAAGGAGTGGTTGATATACCATAACTGAAACTGTAAGTCGCAATCCCTTTCCGATACGACGCCATCGACAGTGGCAAGTATTAAACAATGTCAGCTGATAAGTTCTACTGTAACTGTAATATTAAATTACTTGAAAGAGGTAGCGAAGGACATTAGTATATTTAGCACGAGTAAAGAATTATGTTATCAGTGGTTTACTATGAACGCCTATATGCTCGATGATTTCGTATTACAATTTCCACTTCGATACAATAATATATGTGTTATGTGTTTTAATTGATGCTAATTGGGCGCATCTCTTAACTATGGGAATCCTATTATATATTAGTTTAGTTGCCAATGCCTAAGCGAACATAAGTAACTATGCATGTATACGTACATAAAGTTCTATACTTATAGATACATTTGTATCATTTACGAAAGCGATTTGGTACTTACATATTGTACATATGTACTTATACGGTAAAAGTAGACTGTATGGCGAAATTTCTATTAAATTCGAAAAGGGCAAATATTTTCCACATATTTTTGCGGTAACAATTATAACAGTTCGAGGTCATTTTTACATAATCATGCAAATATATAAGTGTTCATAAATACGATTACATATATTGTATATTTATGTATATGCATATGTTAATACATTCATGTCCACCAAAACACAAACGAAAATTAAGCACCCACGGGGAAAAAGTACATGTATCTGCGAGTGCTTGTATATATATGCACATAAGTACTTGTAAATACATTATAAGTAGAAATTTATAAGCACATGCATAAGTTCAAAAATATGAGCTTACATACGGATTCTTATGTACATATGGTCATGTAAAGAATGACACTCACAGAATGAAACAAATATTTGAATAACAATTAAAGTGGCTGAATTTGTTTGTGTTTGTAAACATTCTTCTCTTCATAATTCCCGCCTGCCATACTAACCCTAACAATAAAGACTGAAAACCCTAACAAGTTCACCCAGTCTAAACACTAAAAGCAACACTTAAAATTTTACTATTTAACCTCGGCTCTGTACACATTGCCTTTTCTAACTAATATGCCAGCTTCCTCTAATTTTGAGCAACCCCTTTCCCCACAAACGCAACCTAGCATGTGCGTGTACATGCACATAAACACTAGCAAAAATGTGGCTATTGTTTTGCCTAGGTCATCGGCAGAGGTACGACTGACATTCTGTTCTACATTACTTTAATGTTTTTAAGAATCTAAGAAAAAGATTTAGAAAGCGAGAAAAAGATAAAATATATAAATAGGCAATAAAAACGGAACCATTGTTCTGGAGAACATCCAGCAATGGACTATCTTTTCACAAGTAAAAGAGGCTTTTGTGACAAGGAAATCGAAGTAAGAATATAAGGGGAGTTAGTGGTGAGTAGACATGCGCAATCAAAAGTGGAAACATTGCCACTAACGCAGTAGAAATGACAACAAACACAAATAGAAATGATAACACTAGTTTATATGTACATAGCATTATCGCAGCAATAGTAACAACCCGCAAGGTTGGGAAACACCCAGTAAGCCAAAGCTTGCTTCTACAAAGTAGTTATGATACATGGCAAATATACTTTCATATCGATAGGACCTTAATGTAGGCTTTTCAATAGAATGATTTTTTATGGCTAAAATATAGTAACTGAAGGATTCCCAGGGTTAAGGATATTTAGTTGTTAGCTAATAATTACATATATAGCACGTAGATATAACAAAAAAACTTTATCTGACTAAATAGTGTTTAAGATGTGTTTAAATTTTCAAGTAAAAAGTAAGGATAGTTCAAAAGCGCAATATAGAAAATTTCAATCCAAAAAATAGACGGGAAAAATGATAACCTGTCAATCATGGAATATTTAAGACGATTACAGCTATTGATCTTTGCAATATTACTACAAAGGAATTCCCAAAGGACTTTTGGGAAAAAGATTAGAGAATATCTACACTCGAAGCAGTAGCATAATTTAATTGCAAAACCTTAAAATTTTCAGGGAGGTCATGGGAAATTGAAACGAATTGTCGTAGAACATTAAATAATGTACTAATGAAGCAAATGTGAGGTAAATTGAGAATTTAGCGGTTAATATGCGAATATTCCGTTAATTACTTAATGAAGTATTTGTTTGGTGTTAATTGATATTATTTTCTATCAGCTTTAACTGTGTACCAAGTTTCATACAATTTTTAACGAATGAATAATCATAATCGTAAAATAATTGTTTGCGAGGTTTTGATTGTTTTGGACATTTGTTTGTACACAAACTTTAGATATATTCCGGTTATTTCAAGTAGTGGTTACAATTATCGGTTCGGTTGACTAAACTGTTTTCTTCTTGTCCATAATATTGCGGGAGTATACAAGTGTCTCTTTGCGCTTGCTAAACATTATTTCGCAACTACTTTAAGCTGTCGCAAGCAAAAGAAAAAAGTTCTCACACCACGACGAACTGGTAAGAATTTAGCATAACCCTTCTCTAGTTCGGAACCAGAAATAGTATGCATCTCACTGAGAGGTAATATGTAAACTTGGGTATACGAGCGTTTGACACAAATAATCAGAAATTATTTCATAGAGGTAGATAAGTGTATATAACTTAAAACATACTCACTTATGAATATCTATTTGAATTCTTTACATACATACAAAGGCTTATGCTTTTA